TTCACAACTTGCTTCCTTGGCAGCTCCATGACTTGCTTTCGTTTTGGAAGCAGCTCCACAGCCTGTTTTTTCTTTGAAAACAGCTCCACAGCCTACTTTCTCTTTGAAAGCGGCTCCACAGCCTGCTTCCTTGACGTCTCCATGGCCTGCTTTCTTTCTGGAAGCGGCTCTACAGCCTGATTCGTTGGCGCTTCCACGGTCTGCTTCCTTAGCGGCTCCATAGCCTGCTACTGTTTTGGAGGCGGTTCCATTGCTTGCTTCCTTGGCGGCTCCATGGCCTGCTTTCTTTCTGCAAGCGGCCTTACAATTTGCTTCTTTTTTTGAGGCAGCTCATGCGACCTTTCCTCCTCCATACGAGCCTCCAACTTTCTTCTTTGAGCTCGCCTCTTTTGGGTCCTAGTGAGTCCACTTATTTCCCCCCCTAGTGGAAAGCTTCGGCTAATTCACAATCCATTTTTTGTTCTCTTTTATGATAGGAGGCTTTTGTGTCACCTTGGGAATGATGGTGATCTGGTCAGCTGTGGTAACAGTCCAAATCCGTTTCCTATTTGTGACATTCACTTCTGCTACGATGGCCTTCGACTTGGGTCCTTTGTATACTTTCCTCTTCTTCAATCTTGAGGCTTTCGTACTTGGGACGGTGATATCGGCTTTAGGCTCTTTCTTGGCCGTCTTTGGTCGTGCCTCCTTCACGTTCAAACTTGAGCCTTTACCAAATGTCATTCTTGTAAAGACGGCTTCTTTAGCGGGTGCCTTCGGTCCTAGATAATCTTGAACCGAAGGTTTTGACGGCTGAGTGCTAAGCCTATCTTTCATCAGCCCTTTAGCCAACATGGTATTAGCAAAAGGAATAAACCCTTTGGTCGGTTTCAATTCCGGACACAAATAAGTCTTTTCATTTGCTAATTTTGTGGCTAAAGCTTCTGCCTTCGCAAAGTCCTTTTCGTCTGAAGTCGCTAAGGCTTTTACCTCTGCAGGCTCCTTTTCGTATGCAACCTCCACAGCCTCTTGAGTCTCTTCCCCTACAACTTCCTTCTCATATGGAGCCTCTGCCCTTACATTCTTCTTTTCATTTAGAGCCTCTATGGTCCCTGGAGTCTCTACCTCTGCAAATTTTGGAGCTTCCATGGCTTCTGGAACCTCTGCTTCCGCAGACTCCTTTTCAACGGGAGCCTCCACAACCTCTGGAGTCTCTGCCTCCATAAGCTCAGGAGCTTCCATGGCTTCTGGAACTTCTGCCTCCGCAGACTCCTTTTCGTTAGGAGCCTCCATGGTCCTTCGAGTCTCTGCCTCGGCGAATTTTGGAGCTTCCATGGCTTATGGAACCTCTGCTTCCGCAGACTCCTTTCCGGCTGGAGCTTCCACAGGCTCTGGAGTCTCTGTTTCCGCAAACTCTGGAGCTTCCATGGCTTCTGGAACCTCTGCCTTCGCAGACTTCTTTTCGACTGGAGCCTTCACAACATCTGGAGTCTCTGCCTCGGAAAATGTTGGAGCTTTCAAGGCTTCCGGAACCTCTGCTTCCGCAAACTCCTTTTCGAATGGAGCTTCCACAGGTTCTGGAGTCTCTGCCTCCGCAAACTCTGGAGCTTCCATGGCTTTTGGAACCTCTGCCTCCACAGATTCCTTTTCGTATGAAGGCGAATTTTCTGCGCTCAAAGTGGTAGTAGTCTTCTTTTCACAACTTCTTTTTGAAAATGCCCTCCTTATGCAATCTGCGATGATATCAACGTCCATTAGAGGCTTGGCCTCTCGTTGATCTTGTATCAGCAGCTGCACTCCGGCTGCCTGCTGATGGAAGGTTGGCGGCTGCATCTTTGCGGCTTGCCCTCCTTGCTTTTGTGTTTCGATGATCCCCTTCCATTGGAGATTAGCCACGTCTGGACCATGACATCCCAATGGTAGTGTTGACGCATTCCACATAGGTTGTGCGCTTAATCGCCCTAGCGGGGTCATGCCAAATATTGAAAATTTTCTTGCCCCTCGTGGAGGCTCAGCACTGCTCTTAAAAAATCCAACGGTCACAGGGTTCCAGCCCTCCACAACCTGTTGGCTCCAGCGCTCCGTAGGCTGTCGCTAGCCTTCCGCAAACTGGTGGTTCCAGCCTTCCGCAGGCTGGTGGTTCCAGCCCTCCGCAGGCTGTTGCCAGCCTTCCACGGGTTGTTGCTTCCAGCTTCCTGCAGGTTGTTGGTTCCAACCATCAGCAGGCTGTTGGAACCAGCCTTCTGCAGACTGGTGGTTCCAACCCTGTTGGTTCCAGCCTGATCTTGCCTGCCCCGGCCCTAAGGCCTGAAGCATTGAATGTTCTGAAACAATTCCGTAGCTTTTTTCAGGCGGTACATATGAACCCCATGTCAACCTCGACATCACTCTTCGAAAAAATCCGACTTTGGTCCCACTGGGCGTGCCAATTGTTGGATCCTAAAATTCAGAGGTTCCAAGAATGTTCGTTGATTTGTTGGTATGGGTTTCGGAAGTACTCCAGAGAGCCTGTCCGTCGTCGGATTGGAGGCGGCTCCTACGATGGACCCTGCACAGCTTCGATCATCCACGAGGCTTCAAGCCTAAATGACCGATCTCGATGGATTTAAACTAACATTTACTAAAACTCGGATAAATCTACTAGAAAACGGATAAAAATATGTAATTCGAATTAAATGCATAAAACGAAAATAAAACATGAAAGAAAAGTAGAAAATTAGACGAATTGTTCTGTTGTGCGTGTGTGTTGTGTTTTTTTCCCTAACTTTAATACTAAGCTAGAATAACCACCTCTCCCACTAAAGGGGCGGTTACAATTATTCCTCCACCACTCTCAACCACTTGGTAACCTCCCACTACTACCTCAAACTTCCTGGTAACCTCCCACTACTACCTCCAACTTTCTGGTCACCTCCTTCCACTACCTCTTAACCACCTCGTAACCCTCTTCCATCAGCTCCCTAGTAATCTCATTCCATAAGCTCCTAACCATCTGGTAACCTCCTTCCATTAGCTCCCAGCCGCTTCCATTGCCTCTGGACCGGGTTCCACTTGCTCTGAACTTCTTCCATTGCCTCTGGACCAGATATATTGTTTACTCCGACTTGTTTTGATCGTACTCCTAGCCGGTCCACGGGGATGTATCCCCAACAGCCTCGAGTTAAATGGAATCTTCGATTTTCCTCTTACTGGTTTGTTCCATGGAGCTTTTTGAATAAAGCATGAGAGTGCATAGATCCTCCACTAATGTTAAGTATGAAATTATTAACCCAGGGCCAACACAGGTAGTTATCCCATGATCTGTGGAAGCTGTTGCTTTTTATCTTGTGGAGGCAACCTTCTTCTGCTTTGTGGGAGGACCGCAGTACAATGGAAGTAGTTGTTTTCAACCCAATGGAGACAACACTTTGTGACCTTATGGAAACATTGTTCCAGGATGGAGTCGCCATAGTCCAAGGAGTTGCTGCCCTAAGGTCCATGGAGGCTGTTGCTTTTAGCCTTATGGAAGCACCACAATGCAATGGAAACTGTTGCCTTCGGTTCTGTGGAAGCAACAGTCTTTGGCTCCGAGGCTTGAAGCTCCATTGCTGTTGAGTGGCTCCGTAGCCAATGAGCTCTGGCACCACTTTTGTCTTTGAGCCTCCTTCTCGTTCAGATGCTTTTGGACCCATATCCAACAGATATGCTCTCTCTCTTGCTCTCGTGCTTGCTCGTGTTTCATATGTAAGTTTTTGCTTTACATTTTTTCATCCATAGATAGGAGACTCATAACTCATTTTTCATTCAAAATGTCAAGTCTAACAATTGCATCTACTTATGTGTAAAGTGTAAACCTCGCCTTTCTTGCACTCTCTTTGGGAGTAAGATATGTTATATGATAATAGATGGTCCAATTTATGTCAACATATGCCCTTCCCGCGCAGTAGGGATGGGAATGGGTCCTGGTAGACTTGAGATTCGACCCATACTCAACTTATCTATTTGAGATCGGGTCTAACTATTCAAATATCATATCGGATATGAGTCGAAGATTGTGATTTGTGTGTCCTAATTTGTCTGGGTAAGGTCCAGGTTCGGATGGACCTTAATTACTTGGATCCGACCAGACCCGGACCTGGTCAATATATTAATAATATCTTATAGATATGTAAAAAAAAATAAAATTTTTTAATAATATAATTATATTGAAAATATTTTGAGTTTTTCTTTATTATTATTATTTTGTTATAATATTTTTGAATAAAATACTTAAATCTTTTATATACGCAGCATGTTGGTCTCACTTCAAGTCCAATTTTTAGCTAAATTTTTAAGAATTATTAAGGTATTTCGGAAAGGTCAGGTCAGATCCGGATATAGTCGGATCTGATTTGAATATTAGGTTTAATAATGTGTATTATGGTCGGCTTTCGGGTTTGGCTAGACCCGACTTATTGTCATCCCTATCGTACATTAATACACAAGGCTGGCCCCAATCAAGATACCACACTTTACAGTATTGGAGCATTGATCAGATAAGTGCATATTTGAGATACTAAGCTAATTTTTTATAAGAAAACACGAACTTTATTCCTAAAGATAGTGGGTTTAAAAATAAAGGAGAAGTAATAAAAAACATTAAACTCAACTTTCACAAACATTAATTGAAAGCTTTCGGTGTGTTCGTATTATATTCCAAATAAAAATCACCATTATTTAGTACTCATGTTTTCCACTGAAATTATAATATTTTCTTGGATGGAACATTACATCAAGATACTATTTAAATTAAATCTCATGTTTAAATCAAAACCAAACAAACCCCATAAAATTCGGCATATAATGATTTTATTAAAAAAATTATAAATTGCAACAACATACTAAAAATTACAAACAAACACCAATAATTTATTAATATCAACCGTCTTCAACATAGATACAAAACTCAGTATTTTTAAATTGAAAATAACATACAATTTCACTCATGATTAATTATCACAATCATACACGCAACATCAATCCCACCACCAACATCGACTCATTTACCAACCATTATGATAGTCTTGGTCGTAGACTTTGCCTTTGCCTTTGTCTTTGTTATTTCCGTCGCCACTGCTGCTGCCGCTACCGTTGCCACTGCCACTTTGTCTGGACAATGGATTATATGGAACCATGGTCCTTGGCCCCACTCCAAATGGATAATTCATGCTTATGTTGGGTTCTGGTGGAGGAACAAGCATTTCCCCAGACATATTCTTCACATCTTTTCCGAAATTTGTTATATTTTCTTTCAACAATTGTAGTTGTTTGTATCCGAGTCCCTCCAGACTCGATCCTCCAAGGGGTATCATACTCTCCCTCCTAAACTTCTCCAGCTCTTCTCTCCGTACTTTCTCAGCAGCTAGCCTTGCCTCGACTCGGGCCAGAGCATCTAGCTCACTTTGCTGTATCCGGGCCAAATCACGACCCTCCCTCCATTGATCACCATTGTTCACCTATATTGATGTTCTCTGGGGAGAGGAACTTATCAGTAATTGAGTTGATATTAGGATGTCCAAACGAATGAGCATTGTCATGAAAACACTACCACACCAGCTTCTGCACTTGTTAAAGTGCAAAGCTCGCTTGCTTTGTTGAACAACCCTCCTCGACGCTTAGAGAAAGTCACTTGAAGGTTGCTTTTCTTTTCTATCTTTTCCATTGAAATACTGCGACGGCCAGGCTTTCGCTTTGAATATCCAGATTGATCTCCAAACGTACTCATGATGCAAATGATATGCGAGAAGGTAGATTCCCAAGATTTTAGGCCCGAAAAATAAAATCTAAAGAAACATGCATTTAGTAATATTGGTTGTATTTTTTAATGGATGAATATCCTAATATTTAGATTCTACATTTTTTATTTTAGGAAAACTAAATTGAAGGCCTAATTCTACTTTTAGATGATGCAAACTTTATCATATAAATAAAATTATAATTCTTATTAATGACTAATTAATTTTGGATATATGATTTTTTCATATATTTGACAGAAAATCTTAGTATTCTAGTAACATTATAACACTGTGATAGTGTATTTTTTATTTTGACCTGCTCAATTGATCATTTTTTCTTTTAAAATCTTTACTGGATAATATTTATTTTCCATTCTAATTATACACAAAATAACTAGTTTATTTTTTAAAACTTCAAAAATAAATTAAAACAAAAAAAGAAAATTGGGCACAAATAAATACACTTTATTTCACCTCATTTTTAGTAAAAACACTACAAGAAAAAATTATTTTTTAAACAAAATATTTGTGTCTCTAAATCTACTTTTTCCGTTACTAATGACATTAGAGACGGAATTAAGAATGAAATTATGTTAGCTACGTGAACTTTAGGGACGGAATTCCGTTACAAATATATTATTTTTTTGTAGTGAAAAAAAATAATAATAATAAAAAAAATCAATACTGGGCTTATACGGAGCTTAAATTTTAAAGTTATTTTGAGTTTTAAAGTTTTAAGTGAAAAATTAAGTTTAGATAGTATATTATTTTTGGTGGAAAATTTAAACTTTAGGATATATTGAATAATGCAAAAACGAAAATAAAAATGCAACAAACTTTTAGAATAAGAAATTGAATTTAGTAATTTGAAAGAGCACAAAGCACATGTTATAAACAAAAAAGTTTTCTCTACAAAATTGTAGCCCTAATACTGTATTTCAAGTTTGGAAGTATGTTCCAAATAATTACAAGTTTAAATATATATACTTTAAAAACATAAAGATACATAAGGTGTCACAGAAAAGTTTGTTTTTTTCTTCATGACATGCAAGAAGTCATCAATCAAAGGGTTTGAAAAAAATAAAAGTAGCTTATTGTGATATAGTGATGCCAAGTTAAAATATAATAATATTTATAGTGGAGAAAAGTTCATAAATATATTTATTAAGCTCGGATTCTTCCCTTGTTATTTTCCTATTAACAACAATGAATTTAATTTCATATATTTATGAAAATATCGACATAGATATTCTAAATATAAAAATCGGAAACAAATACGTGATAAACTCCTAGGATATGAATATGCATGTAGTATGTTGCAATCGCGAACAATGACATTAATTTCATCTAATTACAAGAATATCGATATAGATATTATAAATAAAAAATGACAAACAAACACGTGAAAACGGAAAATATCAATTGATTTATTTACAATTTCACATTTATACAAAATATAGAGGTGTTTAATCAATGTGATTAGAAAAATAAATTATACCATTAAAATGCTACGTGTATATACAATTAAATAAACAAATAAAACTCCAAAAATAAACATATAATTTTCTTAAAAAAAATAACAGCCGGCATAATTCTTTTATTTTTTATTTGGTTATTATTAGTATTATTATTATTATTTTAATATTTAATTTTTTGTCATTCTAATTTTTCAACTTTTTTTTTTTTTTCGTTGAAAATAAATCAAAGTCTCCGTGTGTCTCTGTGGGAGCTAAATATGTTATATGATCGTAGTTGAGCCCATACATCATCAAGTATCAAATTCTAGATGCCATGCTGCGCCGCCATTGGAGAATTGAAAAACATTACAATCTACCTATTTTGAAAGGAACATCTAGCAAGCCTTAAAATGAAATCGAAAAAAAATTGAAAAACATTACAATCTACTATGGAAAACATAGAAATTATTTTCTCTCAAATCACTCAAAACACTCTTATATATGTTGCTCCGATTCCTTATGATGCATCTCACCTAAAATATTAATGAGATAAGGATCAACTATTGGTTAGTAAATATACAATAGTAAATACATAGGCTACTAAACCACACATTAATTCACAGGTAGAAATAAAAAGTAGACTCACAAATGTAAAACAGTCAGCCAACACATACCAAATTGTCTTGCAACTTGGGAACATAAAAGCAATGGCTAATGCAATCTAAACTAAAGCTATCAAGGGCATGACTCAAACATGTAATTTCTTTTGAAACAACGTGATGGGTATGTTCATTTGTGTGTGTTAATTAATTAGTAGTATGTTAGTATTATTTAATCCCAACTACAAGAACGAGATTGATACTTCTTACTCATGCTACTATTACACCCAACTTTACTATATTGTAGGTTATAATAATATAATGTATAATAAACAGGGTATTCGCAATTTCTGTCCCTATATTTGGCCGTCTTTTCAATTTGTGTCCCTATAACATTAATTTCGTAAAAAATGTCCCCCTTTTTTACTAATCCGCGCAAAATCCAGTCTAAACGCTAATTAGAAGAATATTAAGGGTAATTGAAGAACGCCGTTGACGGAGTAATCACGTGCCACCCACGTGACCCTTCATTAGCCAGAACCGGTTCTCCTTAGACCCGGTTCTCCACCGAACCGGTTCGATTCAAATCCGGTTCGGTTCAAAATTGGTTCGGTTCAAATCCGGTTTGGTTTAAACCGCTCCATTTCTTCTTCAAACCGATCTCATTCTCCCATTCCTCAGTCCAGTCGCGAAGCCCTAGTTCATTCGATCTTCGTCACCCCATTTTCCCCACCGATACTCCGTCCATATTTACAATTGCGAAACCCTAGTTCTCATCAATCATTGCCATCCCTAGTCGAGCTGGATTGAAGGCGAAGTTAGTTCAGGAGTTCGTTCGTTCAATTATGTCGTGGAGGCGTAGATTCCTGTGTGTACTTGACAATGGCGCGTAGAAGCAAGCACGGTCTTGATTTCACCCCCAATTACAGTAAGTTGAAAGCCCTTAATTTGAAATATGCTTATGGTTTACATATTATAATTTTTTTTCACTCTGTGTTAGGATTGTGGTTAATTTATTTGATGTCATCTATGAAAGGCTTTAATTTTAATAAAATGAGGTAAAAAAAAAAAAAGATTATATTGTGCTAGAAATTGAATTATGTCCAGTGAATAAGATTGTGGTTAGGTGTTGATTTATGTTCTTTTGTTCTATTGGTTTGAATGAATATACTACATTATGTTAAACACTTAACATTATTGAAATGTAGGGGCGATGTTCAATAAAGATTCTTCTGTTACTTTGAAAATTTATTTTGGCGGGGTGATGAGGCATAAGCCTCGTAGGGAATATTTAGGGGGAGAACATGACTATTTTGATTTTGTTGATATGGATAAATTAAGTGTGTTGGAAATGTGGGGATATGCAGAGAAATTGAGATATAAAGAAGTGAATAGTGTTAGATTATGGATGAAGTACGGTAGCAACTTTGATAGACAATGCAAGTGTTTGGAAAGTGATAAGGATATTTTGTGGATGACAAAACATATTCCAGATAATTATGAACTCGAAATATACTTAGAACATATAGATATCGGGCTTAGCCAAGATTCTCAATCCAATGTAATTAGTGGAATAGAGGATTTAGGTGGTGAAGTTTCTCGGGCTAGTGATTGTGTAGAAGGTGAAATGGAAGAAAATGATTCTGATTTTGATGACTCGTATAATGAAGTTGAGTTAGAGAGTGGGGTTGACATTGAAGGTAGGATGAAAGGAAAATCTATTATGGATAATTCCACAATTGCTGAAGATATTTTGAATACTTTACAAAAAGAAGATGGTGAGGCAGATGTCATGGGTAGTGATAGTGAGTTAAAAAATAGTGGGATGGAAAGTTATGGAAGTGAAAATGAAGGGACAAACCAGTTTGAAATATATAATTCAAGCATAGGTGGTGAAAATCCAAAGCTGAAATTGGGGTTGTTGTTTAAGTCGAGGGCTGAGGCTAAGTTTGCTATTGAAAGCCATTGTTTTAGGAGGGGGATGCATGTGAAATTTCCAAAGATTGACAAGAGTAGGTTGAGAGCCACATGCAAGAAACAGAGGAGTGAATGGTTTGTGCTCGCGTCCAAGGTGCAGGGTGATGAAGCATGGCAGCTGCGTAGCATGAATGAAGTTCATTGCAAATATGGATGGACTTATGATAACACAAGTATTAAGTCTTCCTGGATTGGGAAGACATTTATGAAAAATTTGAAGGAGAATCCGAAGTTGGATCCTGGAGCTTTTAGGGATGAAATATGTAGAACATTGAGGTGTAAGGTCTCGATGTCGAAGGCATATAGAGCTAGGAGGAAAGTTTTAGACTTGTTGCACGGGTCTAATGTGGAGCAGTATGGCTTGTTGTGAGATTACTATAATGAGATTGAGAGATGTAATCCAAACACTTCTCTCTCTTTGAAACTTATAGATGATGAAGAGTCTGGATTACAAAGGTTTCAAAGGATATATGTTTGTTTTTCTACATCCAAGAGAGGCTTTCTTGAAAGATGTAGGCTGGTGGTAGGTGTGGATGGCTGTTGGCTTAATGATAGCTTTAGAGAGCAGTTGTTAAGTGTTGTGGGTATTGATGCGAACAACAATATTATTCCTATAGCATACGATGTGGTTGAGGTTGAGAACAAATATAGTTGGTTGTGGTTCTTAGAGCGGTTAAAGAGGGATTTGGATATTAAAGATGGACATAATTGGACGTTCATGAGTGATAAGCAGAAGGGTCTGATTCTTGCTTTCAAATCCATTCTGCCCCAGGCTGAGAATCGGTTCTGTGTGAGACATTTACATACAAACATAAAACATGATGGGTATACAGGCATTGCAGTGAAGAGGCTTTTATGGGCAACAACTAAAGCTACCACAATTCCGGAGTTTAAACGAATGATGGAGGAAATGAAAAAGGCTTCAGAAGATGTGTTTAATTGGTTAGCAAATAAGAG